AAAGACAAAGACATAAGTCTCAGCAGAGTGATGCAGAATCTCTGCTGTCTTGGGAAAATATAAGGAAAACAAAACAAAAAAGCCTTTTGTATTTCTCAATGACAATGAAAGGAATTCTCATAAGTATGCAATAGATTCCAAAATTCTCCACTGTATTGTACATAAATTTCTTCCTTAAATGAAAACAAGCTAATACATACATGTACCTACAGTCAATAAGTAGAAAATGGTTAAAATTGTAAATATAATTTAGCAAAATATATTTATGATAATTTTTAATACAGCCATTTTTATTTATTAATTTGAACATTAGGAAAATCTTACAGGTACATATTGACAATGACATAAAAAATAACCTTTTTGGTAACTAAGTATGCTTCTTTATTTAATTAGGTTCTTGACAATATTACTTATTTATAACTCTATGTAATACTCGTGCAAATAACTGTAATTAAATGCGAATAAATATTATAATGGTAATATCCTTCTAACATCTGGGTTAAAAATTGCATTTTACTGTATTTTATCAGTGCATATTAGTGATACAGAATAGTGAGGTTTATTTTAGCAAGATACACGTACTCAAGGTATTTCAACTATATGCAAACCCATCACCTCCTCTCCTCTCTCCTCACTGACACACTTCCCAATCTCTAATATACAATGCTCTGGCCTCTTTCATCTCTCTTGTATTTATTTATTTATTTCTATTTTAAATTTCAGTGGTACCTCAGTTCATGAAAGTTTTTGTTTGCAAATAATTTCGTTGGCAAACAAGTGCTTGGCAGACTTTTCTTTCGGTTTGCACACCGCACTGGGTAACAACCACAGCCAGAGCTATCTTTCCTACACAAGCACAAACAAGCCAATATTTTCCAAAATCATATGACAAATTAAATTGTGAACTGAGCTATCGTGTTTTTAGTTTGCTTACATCAGAGAGAACATGATATTTGATTTTCTGAGTCTGCTTTATCTTTGACTCTCAATATGATCGTTCCAGGTTTGTCTTCCTCTAAACATTTGTTCTTTATGGCTGAATATTCCAAGACCTATATGTAGAGTTCACTATTTTTTCATGAGTTTTTGAGCACTGAAACTGTTTCGACATCTTAGCTCCTGTAAATCATATGCTGTATGCATGGGTATGCCTGCATCACTCTCCTGTGCTGTTTTTAATTCTGTTGGGAATAAGCCAGGAAGTGATATCACTGGATGTAACAGTAGACATATTTCTGAGAAATCTCTGTATTTATTTCCATAGTGTTGAGACCATGGGTGGTTCCTGTTCCCAGAAACCATGGAGGAAGGCTCTCATTTCTTGGTGTGATTGCCCTTGTGCTTTAGCCTTTATGTTCCTAATGACCGCCATTCTGAGTGTGAAGAGATGGACTCTCAACACAGATTCAAGCTCCGTTTTTCTAATGACTGAAGATGCTGAATAGTTTTTCATGTACTTTTGGTCATTAGTACTTCTTTTTAGATGTGTATGTTCAGCTCACTTTCTTGTTGGTTGATTGAATACTTAGGAATGCATTTTTGAGGTTTTAGAATTTTTTACCTATTAAGCCTCTATCAAAAGAGTACGTAGCAAAGAGTTTGTCCCACTCTTAGTTCGTCTCTTTGCCCTGTTGATTATTTCCTTTGCAGGGCAGAAGCACTTTAAACTTGATGTAATCTCATTTATTGGTTTTCATTATTATTTTCCTGTTTTGTACAGACTTCTCAGGAAACTTTCGCACATGCTTTCCAGAGTTTCCTGAAGTTTTCTTCCAGTAGTTTCAAGGTTCCTGGTTTTATATCTAAATTTTTGATCCATTTTGATTTGATTTTAGTACAGGAGAAGAGATACAGACCTAGTTTCAATCTTTGCCCTATGGATATCTAGTTTTCCCAACACTAGATGTTAGAGAGATTGGTTTTTTTCTCCTGCGTATATTTTTAGCCCCTTTGTCATAAATCAGATACCTGTAGGTGCTTGGTTTTCTTTCCATGTTTTCTGTTCTGTTTCGTTGATGTCCTTCTCTTTTTTCTGTACAAATGCCATATTTTTTTGTTACTATAGCTTTGCCATATAATTTGAATACCAGGTATTGTGGTGCCTCCAGGCTTGCTTTTTTAGCTCAAGATTGCTTTGGCTTTTCTGGATCTGTTTTTGTTTCCATTTGAATTTTAGGATTATTTTTTCTGGTACTCAGAAAAATATAATTGTTATTTTAGTAGAGATTATATTGAATCTGTAGATATCTTTTTGGAATATGTCCATTTAAAAACATTAATTCTAGTCATCCATAAACAAAAGTGACCGTTCCACTTTGTCATCTTTTTGCTTTGGTTTTTTTGAGGCAGGGACTCACTATGTAGATCAGGCTGGATTTGAATTCATCATCTAGCCCAGGTTGGTCTTCAACTTACTAGGATCCTCTTGTTTCAGCCTCCTGAGAGCTGGGTCCATGTCAGTTTGATTATTCAGTGTTGTATAACCTTCACTATAGCAGTGTGTTGCCTTTTGGGGTAGTTATTTTTCAAGATATTTTATTTATTTATTTATTTATTTATTTATTGAGTTAGTTAGTTAGTTAGTTAGTTGAAGCTGTTGTGAAGGGATTTGACTTCCTGATTCATTTCTCTGAGTGCATAGGAAAGTTACTGATTTAGTCTGTTGATTTATATTCTGTCACTTTGGTGAATTTGCATTGAGAAATTCCTGGCTTTTTCGTGTCCGTAAATTATTTGATGCATTCCTTCAAATCTGTCTTTCCTTTCTTGGAAAGTAATAACATAATACTATAAACAATTCTTCAAATTCATAACAAAAACATAAAGAGCTAATAAAAAATGCACAAATTACCTGCACGGATATTTTACAGCCAAGGCTGTCTCATTTCATTAGTCTTAAGGGAAAGCAGTTTCTGTTGTGTTGTGATGCTATTCAATACAAATCAAATTTTGCAGTTATAGTAATAGGTAAAAAAAAACATCACATCTGCATTGAGACATTGAAAAATTACAGCTCTATGTTGAAGGAGAGTGTGCAAAACAGTACACTAACCTGGGAATGCAGGCAATATGATAGCAGAACCACTGTGTGTATGCTTTCCTCAAAGCATATGTGTAAGAATCATCATTCATGGAAGCCAAGTACTTAGTCAATTGCAATTGCCATGAGGAGAGGAATAGGTGATTAAATTGTGGTAAATTAATGTAATGTGATATGATGCGTTGTCTAAAATTCAAGAATGGTAATTAATGTTAGTACAAAAATTACACAAATATGCTAAAAGGAGAAGCAAATATTACTACTGGGTAGAGTTCCACTATAATAGCTTCAAAGAGGAAAAGATAATACATTATGTATCAGAGGAATAGCTGTCCACGCAAAGGTAGTAATGATGTAAATGTAGATAAGTGGGTTTTGGAGTCCTGACAGTATTTCTTTAATGATCTAAAGCCAGTTCCATGCATCTGTCCATCAGGCTTTAAGCTGTACAGCATCTGATAGTTAGGATAGGTATTTTTAATATGTATTCTATTTTAGGCTCCTATACAATAAAACAATAATACACTGTCCTTAGCTTTTATCTCTCTTGATATAAAATATCATTAATTACCTTATGTCACCTATAAGTTGAATCATTATTCTGGTAATACACTTATATCTTATTTTAAACTGATGGTACTATTTTATGGAAAAAGCAATATTTTGCAAAATGCAGTTATCATTTTTCTTGACATATTAAATGGTTCATCTTAAAAAATATTTTAGGTGACTAGAATTGACAATATAAATTATTTTGCAAGATTTTTGTATTTCACCTATAAGATCAAAGTATAGTTTCAGAAAGTAATATATCACTAGAAAATCAGATTGAAATTTCTATTAAGAAGGATAAATACTTATATGAGACATTTTTCTCAGTTAATAATTGCTACTGAAGTGAAATTGTCATGTTCAATTTTCTTTTCTGGTGTCTCTTTTATGAGAAAGATATAGACAGAAACATCGTTCTACACTATTAAAAAGAGTAATTGCACTGGATTGATTCTTGAATTTGATTTGCTAATTGGCCTAGATTCTTTCTACTTGCAATATCCTTTTCTATTTTTTTTTCTACAAAATATTTAGGAAAGGTTACTGAATGAAAATTGTCTTTCACAATCTATCAAATTTCACTGTTCTAATCTGATAGGAAGAATTTTCCAAGAAGAGAGAATGTTTGCAAATACATTGGCTGCAAAACAGAAGTTTGGTTAGAGACTATGACCATGATACAGGACAAGCTTCTCAGTGATCTGGAAATTCAGTAAACACATTAAAATGTTATGATTGTCTTAAATTTTCTTATGAAATTATCTGCATATTTTATAGATTTAACTACATTTCAGACACAGAGATGAAGAAATGTGTGACTTTCACCTGAGCCATGCTACAGTGAGTCCTAGTCCATCATGACGCATTTATTACCTAAACGTCAGGTGTTTTTGTAGGTACTCAGTATGCATGGCAGGCAAAGTTAGCCCATCAGTGCTTAGAGGACACCTACCTTCTATGGGTGCACAATATTCAAGAAAACTATGTAGTATTTCCCACATGATGTGACACCCTCCCTTAAATGTGGGAGATACCCCAAAACCAAGAACGGATCCCTAGACCCACTGAGTTTTGAGATTCCTATATATGCTTTGAATTGCCATACACAAATTTATATATCATGATTAACTGCAATCCATAAATTATGTACAGTAAGAGCTTAGCATCAATTTAAATCTAATAATAAAATGGAACAATTGTAAAAATATATTGTAATAAAATTTATGTAATGTAATTCCTCGTCTATTTCTAAGTATCTGTGGCACTGTGTTCCCTCCCATCCTTGTGGTGACTGGGATGATAACAATGAGCAGGTCATGAGGTGAAGGACAGAGGCCCTATGACACAAGCACTGTCATTTGTGATGATTTGTGACCTAGATGGCCGCTAGGCACTAAAGCTCTGTAGGTGCATGTGGTCCGCACACACTGAGGATGACCCGCATACAGGGGACACTGCTCTGGATGTAGTGGATTTATCCAGGTTACGTGAAATGATACACAGCTTAGATATTACGGATTGCTTAATTCTGTTTTTCTATTTAATATTGTAGGCCCGCACTTGACCACAAGGAACTGAAGATACTGAACAGTGTTTGTGGATCGGAGTGGACCGGGGCTGCAGGGCACAGGCAGCGAATCCCGCAGAGTGGCGATGCCGGAATTTCTTCCTCCCCATCAGGTGTAGTGCAGGCTTTAGGGCAGCTTCATGATTTCCTGTTTTCTTGAGAAAATTGTTAAAAACTTTTCTCAAAATGTAGACAGTTTTCTTGGGGAAAAAAGGGAAATGATTAAGAACACCACTAACTGGCATAAAGATGAAAAATATCAATACATCAAAAAGTTATTTTCTGTAAAAAGAGTAATTAATAGCACCCACAGACCATGCTGTAATTTGGAGAAGTATTTGCAGTTCAAATGTTAGTCTATTATCTAATTTACTACAATGACATTTTCACATCAAAATATTAGGGAAGGAAATATATAGTTTCAATAAACAAAAAATAACTGACAAAAAACAATGTAAATTTGTAATTCCAAAGAACTCTGTAACAGAGGTGATCAGTATTGGTCAGGAGGAAGTGAAAGTGGCATCATTTGTAAATATTACACTAATATTACATACTGTAAATTTAAGAAAAATCATTACAATAGGAAAATTTAAGTTTCTGAATATATATTTGTATGGAAATATTAATTTCCATTCCATAGCTTTGAAATGATATAAAAATAATTTCAATTACAGAAAAGTATGGAAGTATTTTGACAAATGTCTAATAGGCCATTCTTAATAATACCATGTAATAAGTTTTCTAACTTTTGTGAGAAAATATAATCAATGTAATTCATGCATGGTTAGGAAAAGATAAAAACTATAAAGATGTCAATTTTTCATATATTTTATTAATTAATAAAATTCATAGAAAGTGCTAGGAATACAGCATTTTAGAATATTTTATAATACTGTATAACACATTTAACACCCAACTTGGTTTTTTTGTCTTTTTTTTTGTTGTTTTGTTTTGTTTTGTTTTGTTTTGTTTTTTGGTGTTTTTCCTTTTTATCAGTACCAGGGATCGAACTCATGACTGTCTGTTTACAAGGCAGGCACTTATGCCGCTGAGCTAAATCCCCAGCCCCTCATATACATTTTTGAAATATGTGTGTTCTATGAGTACATCAGTCTTATTAATAATACCTTACTTTTTCTGGTTCCACATGTACTAATACACATGTTCCACCAGCTTTCTGCTTATTTATAGTGCTGTGCCAGCAGCATTAGGAGCATTTCACTCACAAGAAAACAACTCAGGAGCAGCCGTGATGAAGGACCCTCATGCACACGTCTGGACTAAATCATTTCCAGTCCTGCTGCCCATTGCGGCCACCATCTCCACGGAGCAGAGGAGAGTGCAGGAACACAGTGCAGAGAAGGCAGGAAAGTGCCAACCTGCCTGCTCCTCCCAGGACAGCAGCCCTAATCTGTGTCACCCAAAGCCCTGCCTTCAGCTCAGCAGTGGCTGACACCTGCTTAACGTGTTGCCTTCTGCTAATTCACGGCTTCTAATTAAATTACTTCAATGCTCACCTCGCCTCACATGCATTTAGTCTATGCCTGCTGACATTCTTGCTGTTCACAGGGAAACATGGGAACATAATAAAGTGTACCGCCCACAAAGTGTTGCCAAGTGTATGGACAGGTAGATTTTTAAAAAGAACAATAACCTGATTCTTAAACTTTCGCAGATAATTCTCTTACGAATTGACTAACGAAGGCAGCCTGATGCATGTGAGAGCGCAAACATGTGGTGTTTTCTTCGTTGCTTTCTGAACACGTTACTGTTCCCGAAAGTCAAAATTTCCCGTAGTCTTTTGAGTCACAGCCAGAACAACTGAGTGGCAAATACTCATCCCCGTGTTTTTAAACTTCTCTCTCAGGGCTTCTCCTTCCTCCTCCTCTCCCCACTGCCAAGTAGGAACTTGGATACCCTAGTTCAGGGCAGCCTTTCTCCTGAGACTCTCAACATCCCTTTTGCAGAAATGAACAAGAATTTCTTCTCCATTTAGTTTTCTTACATGCACGCAGCTGTTTTTTTTAGGTTCCTCGTTTTCCTTTCCTTTCTTCTCTTTTCTGTATCATTTCACACTGTTGACACTAAGTAGACTGCTTGATTATCTGATCATCTCTTTGGAATGTGGATCATAGGATCCAAAGAAGATTGAGAATCCTCTCTCCCTTGGAGCAGAGATAGGAGTGAAGGTGCCACTCACAGAGGCACTGACTAGTTCTGGGTTGGCCCTTCCTCAATCCTGCGGTCACTGTCTGAGAGAGCTATGCACTGACCCCCATGTCTCTCCATCCCTGATTGGGGGCAGCAACCCCTCATGTTTGTCTGTGTGCCCTCACTGGATCCAGTGCGCTGCTTCCTGTCTCCCTACATGCACGTGGATGTATGGTACACTGGCAAGTGGCAGCCACAGAGAGATCATGAGGCAGAGTCCCAGCAGTTACCAATTACATTGCTTTGAAGCCTTATAATGTTTTCATTCATTAGTTGGAATGGTTTTATCCTGGTTTGTTTGATTTTATTATTTGTGATGGGATAAACAGCTATTTCTGAGGAAAACAAGACATTATAATAGCCAGTGCTGATTTTATATCATCTAGCTCTGAAGTCCTACGATGCTTCTGTTCTTCTGTTTCCACTGGTTCTATCATGTTGTATCTTATTGGATTTTATTATGTGTGATAGTATAAAGAAAATTTCTGTGGTAAATGAGATAATATAGTAGCCACTGTTCACATTCTGTTATTTGGTTCTGAATACCTTGCAATACTTTCATTCTCTTGTATGGTTTTATACTATTTTGTTATGTTTGATACTACTGTATATGAAGTTATGCTCAACTATTTCAAAGAAAGAGACATTATGGTAGTCACTGTTAATTACAGGTTGTCTTGTGGTAAAATACTGTGTTGCTTACATTTTTCTGTTCTGATCTGCTTTGTTATGTCCTCTTTTGTCTTAATCTCTTTAAAATAAAAAAATTAAAAATTTGGTAAATTAAAAAAAAAAAAAAAAACAAAAAAAACAAGATTTTTTGTCCTGCCCCTTGATCAAGAATTGTTCCTAGTATGTCTCCTCTTCACTGTGTTGCACCCTACTGAGCAGAACCGGAAGATGAATTCTTAAATCCACACATAAACTATTACCTTTGGCAAACTACCGGAGATTAAGATTCAAATGTAATGCCACTGCCCCTAAAAGCATTAAAGAGAAAAGGCTCCCTTTCCTACACAAACCTGCATCACTGCCACACCACAGGAAGCCAGCTGTCACTCATCATTGCCACATACACTGCGGGGAAGTAAGCAGAGTGGACCAGTCTTTCTCTCCTCTGTGCTGCCTCCTGCTCAGGTCAGCATGGCCCAGATGGAGCCAGTACCTTTTGCACCTGCACACTTCATTCCCCCCAGTCTCTGGTGATTTCCACAGGCCTTTGTGAGCCAGGTCACCTTCCTGGAGGGCATCCTGCACTGTGGATGAGCCATGGTCTTCCTATCCTCGGTGTTGAGTGGACATTTCCACGAACCACACTGCAGCCAGCCCTGTGTCCTGGTTCTCTGAGCCCAGCCCCCCACAGGGCCGGGTCTGGGTGCCCACCCTATTCTTAGGCTCCAGCCTGCAGCCCTGGGCCAGCTGTAGTCATGTCTGCTTCTGTGACCTCAACTGTATTAACATCTGAAGGAAGTAGGACAATGTGGTGTTTGTCTTCATGTTTCGCTTATTGCATTTAGCTCAGTGCTGCGTGGAAGATCTGCCTGCGTGGTATGGAGTCACTGAACTGGACTCAGTCAGGGTGGGGCAGCTGCAGACTTTGTGGTGCCAGGGAAGATAAATGGAGGTAAGTGGGCACCGGTGTCTGTTCATTCATCTCTAAGAAGGAATAGGTGTCCCCTGAAGAGGACTGGGAAAGAAACATGACGCAGTATCTGCACCCTGGCCCTCATCCCTTATCTCCTTCCTGTAATCTTGGGTGCAGATTGAAAGTCTTAGAGCAGATCCTTTGGGGAGCAGGATGCCGTGGGCTCTTGGAGGAGCCTGAGGAGCTCCCTGGCAGTCCCAGATCACCACTGCCCCGGCCTTGCAGCCCAGGGTGAGGCTTGTGGAGCCTCAGAACAGCCCTGCAGCCTGTCCTGGAGGATTGGCCTTGTGACTCACTGTGAAATTCCTCAAGGCTGAGCACGAGATGCAGCAGGCACTGAAGTCCCATGGGGGGACTGGCTTTGGAAATGTTGACACAGAATAACTAGATGCAAATCTCTGCAAGAACTGTGATTGGTGTATTCCAGGGTAGCACAGGAATTCAAATGTAAAGATAAATAAATTGAAAAATAAGAATCACTGGCTGAGAGTCGAAAATAAATGATCAGGAAGGTAAGAGAGCAAAGCGAAGAGTTTTTTTCTGCTTGGTTCCAGTGTGTAGCAGAAAGCAGGAAAACTGGAGTGCTGCTTCTAAGTGTGACGCCTCCTTGCCAAGTGTAAAAGCCAGTTTTACACTGATATTTTCAGTAAATATTCTTGAGAAATATTAGTTATAAGAAGTTGCTGAATGAGCAGGAATTGTAAGCGTTGTTATACTCTGCAGGACACAGCAGTAGGACCAGACAGGCTGATGCCTCGGGCTGATAAAGGTGAAGCCTGATGGAGATACAGAGATACAGAGAAGTTCATTCACACTGGGTGATGTCACGAGAATCAGAAACCATAATTCAAACCAAAAAGCCAGTTGTTTGTTGTGAGAGGCTGGACACTGCAGAACAGGAGGTTAGGGGCTGAAACCCAAGATGGAGCTACCAGTGTCCTCTGTGTGTGTGTGTGTGTGTGTGTGTGTGTGTGTGTGTGTGTGTGTGTGTGCATGTATGTGCATGTGTGTGTGCATGTGTGTGTGTGCATGTGTGTGTGCATCAGTGTGTGTGTGTGTGTGTGCATCTGTGCATATTTGTAAAAGGAGAAAGATGTATACAATCTGAAGAGGAACCAGAGGATCTTTGTGCTTTTGTGTTCCCAAGTTTAACTCTTCCCTGGGCCCCACGTCCATCCTTTTCTGCTGTGAGACAGGGGCTCAGCAAGTCATCTGGTACAGCAGGCCTCTGGCCCAGCCTCCCAGGAGCAAGGACCGCAGGCAAGTCCCACCGGAGGGCGGGGGCTGCTTTCCTCCAATGTGGTTCAAAGCTCTGGGGACAGTGCTGGCTGATCCTCGTGGCTTGTAGCCCACACTGCACTCTCTGGGATAATTTTAATGAACACTACAGGGTCCAGAGCTTAGCTTCCCCTAAGGAACAATCGCAGTTGACCTCACTCCTCCGTCTCTCCAAGGGGAAGGCAGATTTGCTCTGTAATTTTGCTCACCATCATCTGCGGAGTCACACACATACAAACCTCTGAAACCAGGGCTCAGCCACCTGGCAGTTTCAGGACAGGTATTTGTTCACCTACCATTCATTTAGCACGTGGCGGCAGTGCGCAGTGTTGACCGTCAGCCTGGGGTTTGACGCTCATCTTGCACCCGGTTTGCTCCAGAGCAGCCACAGTCCAAAGGGAACCACCGCTGCTTCCCTTCCCCAGCTCCGCCTCGCCTCACTGAACAGTCGGCCTCCTAACAAGGTTCTTTATTTTGCTCCTTACAGGGTGTGTATTTTGGGATTCTCGCGATGGAGACCATTCAGTCGCTAACCCTGCGTGACTAACTCTTTCACTTGGCATTATGGCCTCAGATCCTCTCGTTTCCCAACAGCTGCCTCGGATTTATCCTTCTTTTCGGGTGAGCTGCGCTGCTGCACGTGGGCACGTCCGTCCTTCATCCATTGCTTGATGCGTGCACAGGAGCTTCTGTGGTTTAGCTGTTAGCTGCTGTGAACATGTAGCAGGATAAATTTAGTTTTTCAGATAAAATACCCCAAAGAGGCACAGTCGAATCAAATGAATTTCTATTTTTATTTTTATGAGACTTCTCCATACCAGTTTCCGAAGTGTAAGTTTGCCTTCCTGCCAACAAAGCATAAATTTTTGTTTTCCCTCACCATGCGGCTGGCATTTGTTGTTTTTGACTTTAAATAACGGCCATTCTTATTTAAAAAGAAGTCCTCAGTGCTGTCTTCCTTAGCATTTCTCTAATGGTTAAAGATTCTCAGCATTTTTTCATGGATTTATTGGCCATTTGCACTCCTTCAGTAAAGCCTCTATAGATTTTATTTTTTCTTCAGCAGATGTCGTGTTTCAGCTTCTGGTGCAGGCTTTTCATTCATTTTGAGCTGTTTCAGTGCCATGGGAAGATATGGATTGAGATTTATTATCCACATGTGGATAATCAGTTATCTCAGCACCATTTCTGCTGTTTTCGCCAATGTGAGCTGTTAGCCCCTTGGTGGGAAATCGCCTGGTTTAAGGGGATTGTAGTTATGTCTGCATCACCTGTTCTTTTCCACAGGCCAATAGTTCTACTTTTGTCCCTATATGAGGTTGTTTGCACTATGGTGGCATTGTAGTAAATCTTAAATTATGACAT